GCGGCAGCGGCTGGTCAGTGCGGGTCGTAGCCCAGCCCGGAACAAAGCTCCTGCTGCCGGGGAGCGTGCGGCAGGTGCTGGGGGGATGGCGGGTCGCTTGCTCCCTCTGCTGAGGGGCTCTGACAAAACGCGCCTCCCCGGCGTCACGTTAGCCCTCGCAGGGCCTCTGGGGGGAGGCGGGTGGGCTGCGTCTCGCGGGGTGTAGCGGGGGAGCTGGGGGCTCCCATCAAAAGCCCTTTCTCCCCATTGCTCGAGATCGACGTGCTTCTTCGTTAGGCCAAAACGTGGGGGCTCTTAGCACGGCCTAGCGCAGCTTCCAGGGTTGTAGCTGAAGTTCTCGCCTGCTTTTAACAGCCAGCTCAATAGCTGAAGTTTTCGTCACGTCTCTCAGGCTGAGAGACTCCAAAGCACTTCTGCGTGTTGCGCTTGCAAAATAAAATCATTATTTTAGCAGGAGCGTGGGCGGGTGATCTGCGGGGTATTCACAACGGCGCGATGAGAGAAGGGAAACCGTCTCTGCCAGGCGAGCTCCTGTTTTAATAAATTCATCGTGCTCGTTAATGATCAGAGGGCAGAAGGGCTTCGTAACAATGACTTGGTGAGAAGACCGAGTTTAATTCTGGTCAGGAGATTGGGTTACGGCTGGCCAGGAAGAGGGTAGCAAAATAGAGCCTGTAACTCAATGCCCTCGCCAAGCAGGGTGAGAGGTGCCAGCGGCAGGCTGGCAGCGCAAGCAAAGCGCTCGCCCTCTCCTCTTGCCAATGCCTTGAGACTGCAATCATAGGAAGCCTCGCGCCGGGCGGCAGAGTTAATTCCGGCGCTCGTTAAATCGTTCCATGAAGGGACATAGCTTGCGTCTCGGGAGCTGATGATAGCTGTGGCCTTGAGTAATGGTTTAAAATTGTAGGGCTGCTCAAATCCCAGCCATCGGTTGTCTTTCCTCTTTGTCCTTTCAGCTGGTACCTTTTAGGTGTTCTTTTAAAGCCCTTAGAAGGAAAAATCTCCATCACCTGTCCTTTCTCACATCCTTTTCCAGTCCAAGCTGCTGAAAATTTGTGTTTGTAAACTCAGTGGTGCTTGTGCCACTGAGCAGAGATTTCTTGAGGAGCCGCCGCCACGCTTGCAGCTGCTTTTGCAGTTGTCGGGGCTTTGGATGTCTGCAAAAGCAGTTGGAGCAACAAGAAAAGCGAGCTGTCTGCAGCAGGGGCTCTTCTCACGTAAGAGAAGAGACAGGAGCTGCCTTCTGGCATCCGTCGTGGTTTAGAAAGGTCATTTTCAAACCCTGCCTGTCAGGAAGGAGACCCTCTGCTGCTGGTGGTGATGGCCGCAGGAAGCAAAAAGCTAAGCGGGATGGAGCAGAGGAGAGCCCGACCTCGTCTTGTCCGGCGTTTTTCGTGGTCCGGATGGATGCTGGTGCGGTCAGGGACTGCAGGCTCTCCGTGCTGCTACAGAAATCAAAGCTACCGGAGGTAGGCAGGTTGAGAAAAGAGGAAGAGAGGGCAGGAAGAGGCTCCGCTGTAGAGCAGGCAGCGTGACTGACTCACTGGTTAGCAGTTGAAAGAGATTTCGGGTGCACCTGCCGTTCTCTGCGCCTCAAACCCTGCTGCAGTCGTTGAGCAGGGGAACCTGGGAACTGCCCTAACGAGATGGGCCTTCCGTTGAAGGTGCGAGAGGAGAAATCGCGCACAGGAAAAGTGTATGAGCTGGCCTGGTCCTGCCGTCGCAGGGTTTTTTGTTTGTTTTTTTTTTTTTTTTTTGTCTTAAGGAATTCCCTTTATTTTCTTCTTCCACCTATATTTTATTTGGCGTGGGTCTGAGGTGGCACGAGACGGATCCCAACGTAAAGGCGTGAGAACGTGACAGTCGTGGTCAGTGCTCAAGAGGAACAT